CTTTGGTACCTGTTTTATCCCATTTTATATATTCCTGAGATAGATTCTCCATTCCCCCCCTTTGCCACCCAAATGTCGAGAATATCTATATCACTGTAGTGGCCCAGTGAGGAACTTTCCCCCATCGCCGATGGCAGGACGAACGTCGAAGTATCGAGATCCCCCTTCTTAGCTGGTCATAAATATTCAAATACTGGGTTAGGGGTATTGCCTTCATTTGAAAACTGTGAGTGCATTATTGAATTAGCATGACAGCTCTGAAACATATGCGTAAGGGGTATTGAGAGAACGAACATTCAGTGTGCCCATTTAGCTTCGACATCCCAGCATCGTGACTTCCCGGCATGCAAACGTGCTTCAATTTTCGCTCACCAATGACGGTCAATATTGACGACATCCATGCAATTGGTGGCTTGTGGCTTGACCAGTAACCCTGCTCCTCGCTTCCAGCCAACACCCAGTTCATAGCTCTCATGTCTCCCAAGCCGCCTCGGGAAGGGAAATCAAGGGAAGTGCCCTTCGGTACATCCTTGGTCTCTAATCCATCGTATAGAACACGAAGATGAAAATTATTGTTAGGATCATCTTGGTATCTGGCCATTATCTGGAAAGTCTTGTCCGTTCCCTCGATCTTGTAGTATGCTTCTCCTTTGTCATCATATCTATTGAAAGACTGGGCAAACTGCCACTCGCATTGAACGGATTCACCTGTAATTTATTAGCAGAAGGATTATATAGAGTGTCGCAAGAATATTAGATTACCGGCAGGGACATTATGCCACTTCCATTGATCCATCTGATATGAGTGACTAGATGTGAGTATCCAGTTATATGGAGATCCGTTGACTAACGTGAAATATCCATGGTCCGAGTGGCCTCCGATATCAATTATCGAAAGGTTTGTGGGATATTTCCCTTCAGGCAGGATAGCTTCCGGGAGAACGGGTGGACATTTATCTTCATTTCTGGCATGGAGCCCTTGCTTTATGAGCCGTTGAGGGCCTGTTTTTTGGATGGGATCTATAATCGTAATCTGACTCCAGTACGGATGGTAGTCGACCGCGAGATTATCTTGTGATGTAAGCTGGTTTCCATCAGAAGTAATCATATTGGTAGCGCCGATGGTGATTAAATTAAAAATTCTAACATCACCACCATTCCCTTCCAACTGTATCAGAGAGTTTTGGCAACTGCGCGTTTTGACTGTATTGATTCGGTTCAAGGTTATCTTATGAGTCCAAATGCATTTGAACCGGGGTAGATTCCTATGGAGCTGAAGGTTTATATACTTACTGCATTCCTGTGTATAGGTAGAAAACCAAGAATATAGCCCTGCTCCAGCGATATAGATCTCAGACGACTCAATGATCCGGAGCGCCCACGCAGCATCATTTCCCGGAGAACCGCAATGGCAATTTTGGTACGCTGGATCTCCACTGAAGATTCCAACAGCAGATTCAAATGGAGCAGGCGGGTTAGGTGTTGGCTGATAATAGGGAGATTCAGTTTGTATCATGCCCGCGAAAACATTTTGAGCCTTGTAGAAATTGTACTGGTAATAGAGCGCATGCTCAGAAGACGTCCCATAAAGCCATGTTGCCTCTGTACTTTCAACAAGCAGTCCTCTCGCGGTGTAGATCGAAGTTTGAACCTATTGATGTAGGTTAAGACATGCGCTAACAGTGAGCCAGCTACGAGAATTGATATACTTACCAAGGTATTGTTGTTATCTTGCCAGTCAGGATCATCGATATCATGATCTGCAGTCCAGAGCCAAACGTTTTCCATATATGCCGATGAGCTATCGGTAATGTGCATCATGAGACTTCCTGATTTGCAACCATCACCATTTACACCACTCGTGATCGCTGGGCACTCTGTTGAAGTAAGTTCGCTACCAGTAGCCCCTCCAATTCGTACATGGGAATCTGTAGGTCATGAATCATTAGTCGTAGTCTAAGCTATAAGGTACGTAAAAGTACTAAAGTCAGAAAAAGTATCAAGTTGATCATACCCCACATGCTCGCACACCCTGAACATGTAGCCTTGATATTCCATTCCACTAATACGGCGCCCGCAGTGGGGCCTTTCGTTGTGAAAAGGAGGTCTTGAATTTCCACATCACCCCTATCACACGGTTTCCAACTCGAACTAGAGGGCGTGGGTTCCTATGATTCGACATCAGCAAATGCTTTAC